GGATAACATTTCACATGTACTGTCACAATTCGATGCTGGAGAAATTAAGCACATCCTAAGCGATTACACTGGGACAGGACTCTTGGAAACCTATGCTCAGTTTCCCTTGAATTTTACACCATGTGCCTTTTCTCTTTTGATTTTATTTCGTGTCTTTTAACTGTAATAAATCTTACCCAAGATTATGATATATGCTGAATTCTCTGAGTGCTCCTAGCAAATCACTGAACCTAGAGTTGGTTGTAGGGATACCTGACACAGACAACTGTAAGTCCAAAGAGCAGCAACTGTGCCGTAGATCATTTTGTATTTCTTAGAGTATATAATATATTCTTATACATAGTAGATATACATTATCATTAATGGTTTCGTATATTATCTTCTTAATGTATCCAAACCAGCCTAAAGATGTTTGCATTTCCACTTTACAGGCAGTTAATATTGGTGAACCAGTTAAATGACAAAAATATGTGATAAAAGTGGTGTACTTTAAGCAACAAATGAAAAGGTTTTGGCAAGTTCAAGTAACAAAGTTGTGCAGAGACTGATGACTCTTAACCACGTATGGTTTGCAGTCATCCAACCTCCTTTAATGCTGCAAATATTCTCTGTGTAAACTTCCTAAAGCATATCATAAGTGTTCATTTGATTTTCATTTTTGTCTATTCATATATCTTTGAAATTGAGCAAAAAGTAACATACTTCACTAAAGTGTGTGTGACAGAAGGAAAGCACTTATCCAGCTTCTGTATTATTTGCCTATAGTTCTGTGGCATTTCAAAGAAATGAGCAATACATGCTTCTTTGTACTTTATGTAATTGCTTCAGAACTGTATCCCCCTTATTGGTCAAAAGATGAAGAGGACTGCAACAAAGACACTAAAGAAATAGTAAGGTAAAAAGGAGGCCTAAGGGTAGAAATGAGTCCATCAGTAGGAGAACTTAGGTTAAAGAAAGTTCCATCAGGCATGCCTGATGACAAAGTAGTTTTAATCTTGATCTGTCATGACAAAAAGAAAGAAAGCTGCTTACTATTTTAAAAGCAACCATCATGCACATAGAGACTTCATTCAAATGTCCTCTATGTACTTCAAAAAAGCAAAGGAATGAGGATATTTTACAAAACATAACAATTCAGTGACTCTTCCTCTTAATTTCCAGAAGAAAAATTTGTAATACCAGAATGTATAATTTACCAGCAAATGTGACAAAAAATGTATTTAAAACATTACCAATAAAGAAAATATAAATCATTAAATTGGTACAGTAAAACAGCTTTTTAAAAAAAGTATACAGTTGAGTTTGATTCCTGGTACCAGAAGAAAAAAAAAAGTACAAAATTGAAAGCAATCTCCAGAATCTGTCAAACCATCTCCCATCTCCCTAAAACACAACTTGGTAACTTTCAGATCCAAGAAAAAAAACAATGATTCCTGTTATCACAGTTAGCAGAAGGGAATCTCTGTTGTGGCTTTGGGGAGATGATCAAAGTACAATATAAGGAGGTTAGATTTGACAATTTTGGAGTTTTCTGTTGGTTCTACTCATTCTCAATGTTGACAGTGTGTTGAAGTCTACCTATATACTTCAGTCATTTATTCTAGTGGCTCTACTCACTGTCAGTAATATCACTAGCAAAAGAAAACTACTATAAAGTTTGATATAAATCAATAACTTTTCTTTTGATACCAACAGTTTATAATCTTATCAAAGTTTCCATAACAGAAAGATCCTCTATGCTGTGCTTAATCTCTGCATCAAGCCACCTTTGCTAACCAACTCAAAGTTCCAAAAGAGATAGTAAGCACTAGTTTTCTCCTTAAAAAGAAACACAAATTTTTGTCTCATATTCTTAAAAACATTTTATAAAAGACAAAGATTCTCAAATTGGTACCAGTTTAATAATACAAACACTGCTTGATACCCAAATGCAGAGATTTTCTTTTTATTCAGTAACAGTTTCCATTATATTGAAATGGTTCAGTTAACGTCACTATGTACAAACTTATAACGAATTACAATCACATAATTTTAGGTTTAAAAAGTACAAAAGTATATAACAGTGAAACATCCTAAATGTTATCTGCCGGTTAAGACAAATTTTAATTATGCCTAAACATTAGGTAAGATGTACAACTCAGACTAAATCAATGTATAGTAAAAACCAACAGTATACAGATAATTAAGGTATCATGGAAGCTGGTTAAAAATTTATAATGAAGAGAGGACTAGTAAAAATATAGCAACCTGGCTGAAATTGATATTCATTAGGGTACTCTTCATATCAATAGGGAGCATTTGGACTCTGTGGTCTTTATCAGTGTCCCAGCTGGTAATGGTTGAAGGTTAATGCTCTACCCCATTCTGTTCAATTTTCTATCCTAATTAGCCCTCCAAATCTATAGCTGTGAGCACCAAGTGTCTGTCCTCAAAAGAAACTAATTAATGCTAGCAAATTAGATCAAGTCCAAAGATCCAACAGACAAACTCTTAGTTAAATGCTCCTTGTTAATAGGAAGTGTAGCTGTCAATAACTGCTGTTGGTGACTATAATGAGGCATCTTTCTTTCATTGAAAGTGATTTCATTTTTCTTTGTCCCTGGAAAAGCTGTTCCATTCCCTTCACAAACCTAGGTTGCTGGCAGTCTGACCCAATTTTTACGATCAGTTGAGTTGAAATGACATAAAAAAAACCAGAAAAGCTTTGCTGCATAATCATGTTTCAGGCATTTAGCAGAAAGTCAGATCACTTATTAAAATTCCTATATCTTTATTTAAGAACCATATAATTAACACGCAAAATGCCTTTATGTAAAATCCTATAATTATTTAATAAAGCAAAGGTATAAACACTAAGTAAACTACAAGGGAAGGGTCCTGATTCTAAATTATACCTTATTGGTTCAACTTAAGTGCAGTTTTTTTCTCCTGCAGTAGATATGTGTGCTCTTTCCTAATTCACACAGTTAAACAGGGAGAATATTAAGGATTTATTATTCTTTTATAAAATGATCAATTTTACATTCTAAAACACGGAGACCATATGGCCTAAAAAATCAATATAATTACGAGAAATTGAACTATTCAAAAATCAATTATATAACAGAATATTTTTCAAAGAGGACAAATGCATTAAAATAACCCCAAACAAAACTCAAATTTTAAGATCCTTTCAGTCTTCAGGAAATCAGCATATTTTTAAAAAAAGCTTTACCATGTCAACATGCTAAACAACCTAGAGTTTTATAAAGAACTGAAAACTAAACTTTCTTTTCTATACCACCATCAAATAGTGGCTATATAACACAAACAAATATTTTAAAGTTATAATCTATTCTTTTGTTTCAAAAACAAAGTTCCACTGTTGAAGAATATGGAAAGCCAATTTTGAAACCCAAATCCATAAAATCATTCTACATTTACATCTAAGTCACATCTGTAAAAATTAAGTATATAATTGAGTTTCATTCTAGGGATCACGATAAATGTGTTTTAAAATGAATACAACTTAGAACAGTGGATTGATATATCAGTATCAGTAACAAGTAAACTTCCTAGTAGTGAAACATCAACCCTGTAACTTTATTATTCATTTTTAAGTTTTATCCTCCCTCACCTGAATCAGGATATATATTTTTTAAAGTTCTATGAGTCAGGTGGAAGATTACCCTTTGACACTATCAGCATTACACTGGACAGAGCCAGATGTGCACTGAACTCTGGTTTTAGGTGCCAACAGGTTAATTTCTCCTGACATCTGGGGTTGGGGAACTGAAGGAAAGTACTCTAATTAAACAACTGTTTCACAGAAAAAGCCAGAATAATGCCACAAAATGACTATTTTAAATTACTAATTTATGGATGAATTTAAAAATGGAATGGGTCATAATAAATCATTCAACTTAAACAGAAAAGATCATGACATACTCTTGAGTGTAAGGGACTACCCTTATTTTATCACCTCCACCCACCAACTGCAAAGGTCATCTCTAAGGGCCGGAGGCTGAGAAGGAGGAAAATGTGCCTCGCATCCAAATTCTGACACAGTCTTGAAACTAGAGTAGATACAGCCTGATTCTCCCATATAGAAACCTTCAGCAGAACTGCCGCCTATTAACCTCACTAAGAATTATTGTGGTCCTTCAACAATGATGACTACAAGGCAAAGTGAGAAAGGGCAGTGAGGAAAAGAGAGTATGTTGGTAAATTTTTACTACTTTTTGATAGCCATTTAAAAAGGCAGAATTTTTAAACAAGTTATTTCTACAGTAATTCTGCCATCAGCTTTTTTAATTATCCATCATTTACAGATATTTTGTGACCTCAATTTTTACCTATCACTGCTTTGTTTACATTTTCAATACAATGTTATACATTAATCAGTTTCTACATTTATAGTATATAAGAATATTTAATATTAAAAATGTTTTCCAAAGAAAACATGCATATGAGGGTGACTAATGCATGCATTTACATAAATATCTCTCACTTAGAAACACAAAACAAAACACACATCAAAAAAAACCCAGTCTTATTGTAAGCTTTACTGAGATTAACAATTCAGAAATAGTGACACTAAAGAAAACCACCTTAAGGATATATGTTTTAATCTATTTATCTCTATCTATCTATATATATGAATGGATATGTAGATAGATAAAAAACAGGTACATGTTAGATTCAGTATTTGTCCTTTCCCTATCAAAAAATCACCAGAGCAACTCGTTTCTCCATAATACTCACAACAAGTTTTTCTCTATATAAACTATACTGAGAAAGAAAGAGTTTTTTATTAGTAATTTGGGGAATATTTTAAAATTATAAATGAATTGAACACTGCCTGGAAGTTCTAAAAGCTGAAATACTGGTATTTCAGTGAAAGGGTGAGAAGCAGTTCATACATATTAATTCATGGACTACTTAACTCTGAGGCTAAGGATTAAATTCAGATCATATTATTAAAAATGAACTTAATCTTCCCATGAATATTTGAATCTTACCTTGAACTTGTACAGAACACCTGTCTCTGGCCTTTTCTCTCATTATTTTAGGGATCAAAACATCTTTTTCAACATGTCTAAGATGCTGATCTGGAAAAAAAGATCTTTATTATAGTAAAGTCTCAGTAAATCACAGGATTAGGAAAAAAATAAGCACTCCAGTCATTTAAAACAAAAAATGCGTGCAAGTCATTTTTTAAATAATTCTTACCATCTGATAAAATTGTGATTATTTTAGTCACTAAAAATTATTCTAATAGTGTTATACAACAACAAACTATGAGAGACATAGGTGATATCTTTCTAAAAATTTCTGTAAACTATACTGCAACACTTACTTGGTAACATATCCCAAGTAGACTGATCAAAATTAAAGTCTAAATCACCATCCTTAAATTATAATCCACAAAAAAAGTATTAATACAGATATCCAAGGATAGATGAAGAGATGCAAGATTTAAAAAACAAATGAAGTTTTTCTACCTAGTAGTTAAAAGTAGCCTAAGAAAGAAAGAAGCAGCAGAAGAAAAAGTAGAACTGTAGGTTCATATCCAAAACAGTATTGTGACATTTCTGAGCATTGTAGATACAACTTCCACCATGAAACTAAAATGGCAAACTGAATGACTGGTATGGCATCTCATCTGCTTCTTAAATGCTGAGAAAGCTCTAAAAACAAAGTGTAAAAATCCCCAATGAAAATAAAATGACACAGAATCTCTCAAAGGCAAAAGGCAAGTGACATCACATTAAAGTAAATCACCATTAATTCCACAGAGAACCCAGGAAAAATTGATATCAAAAGTGAGTGTTGCTCCATGCTTTGAAGCAGTAAATAAGAGCAAGAAACTAGATAATGGTTGAAATACTTCAGTACCTGCGCCAAAAGGTCACTCCTCTGGTATCCCTAGACCACGGATCTCCAAAGCTCAGGAAGTTTTCCAGTATCTGGTGATACTTAGGAAATGTAAGATCCTATACTCTAAACTCTTTTTGGTACTTAATACAAGGTATGTTATTCCCAATAACTTCTGACGGCAGGCAGCTATGACCTGAGATATACATATCTCAGAGGACAGAAGAAGACAGCAGGGCAACTCAAAATGCAAGTAAAAGAATGAAACATTCAAGAATCACCTTAATTTTATGAAGGGCAATAAAATGGAAATAACAAGTCATAATAAAAAAGTAACTAACTCCTAAGAGAGTTAAATGAGTTAAAGGAAATAAGGTTTTAGAATATCTGTAATAAACATACTGAGGCAAATAAAAAGACAAGTCCACAGAAAGAAATAAAACATGGATTATCTAAACGGACTTGATGAAAGTCTGAAGCCCTCAATTTTAAAAGCTTGAAAAAAAGGAATGAGACTCAGATGTATATTATGTCTCACTGGCAAAATATGAATAAAACAAGATAAGAAAAACATAACTTGAAAGTTCTGAGAATTTCTTTATATTTAAGACTACTAAAGTCAATGAAGCTACCCATGAACAGAAAGGTTAAACAAATTTCAGATATATAGAAACAAAAATGTTTACCTCTTTCAAACTCAACATAAAAAGAAATCACTTCCTTACTACTATTGTTGTACAACCACTAAGCAAATACAGTATATGTAGAACAATAAAAATTTTATTATGTTTAGGAATCTATAGGGCAGAGGGACCTCATCAGGAAAGACTTAAATGACTGATATTGATTTCAACATCTGAAAAACCTGGAAGTGGAGTATATACTTCCAAAACTATTTCTTTCTTCATGCATAAATCTTATATCTAGGCTGGAATGGCCTACAGTCAGTTAAGATTGTAAACCAGATCACTTACACATTGCTTCTTCATTTGGTTTAACTTCTTACAGTTCAGCAAGTAGGTTATAAGAAAGGACAATTTGAGAAGGAATATCTGGAGATCAACCAAGTGAAAGTCATATGCTTTTTCTGACCTTGTCTTATAAGCCACAAAACATCATTCCTGCTGCATTTTATGATTTCATTCAAGTGAAATGAATGACTTGATTCATTCAAGTCATTAAGAATAGCCCATATTCAAGTTAGGGTGGGAGCAGAGAAATGGTAAGACTCCATTCTTTGTGTCAAGGCCACATTATAGAAGAGTATGAGGGATGGGAGATAATGCTATAATCCCTGAAAAAACAAAATATACCACAGAATTCATAGAGAATATACTCTGATCAAGTAAATATGAATCCATAATGCATAAATGTAAAACAAGGAAAACATATGAGAAAAATGTACATTTAAGTTTACATTTTAAAACTATAAAGTACTTGAGCGATATTATCAACTATCTTGACCAAACTAATATTTAGAGAATATTCCACTCAATAACAGTAGAAAATTTACCAAAATAAAACAACTTTGCCTATGAAACAAATCTCAGAGCCAGGGAGTTAGCTCAGTGTTTCCACCTCCTTCCTCACTAGCACAAGGTCTCAAGTTCGATCCCCAGTACCAAAAAAATCAAAAAATAAATTTCGGTAAATTTGAAAACTTTCAAGTCGTACAAAGGTACATTTGCTGACACTAATTTAACTAAATAAGAAATCAGTAACAGAAAGATTTCTAGATAATCTCCAAATATCTATAAGCTAAAGAACACATTTTAAAATACTTCATGGGTCTAAGATATCAAAAGACAAATTAGAAAATATTTTGAAATGAATGAAAAAACACACATATCAATATTTTGTGTGATGCCCCTATTACAGTACTTACAAGGAAATTCGTAACACTAAAAGCCAAGAGGAAAAAAAAAGAGAAAGTTCTTGAATCAACTTAAGCTTCTACCTTAACAAGAAAAAAAAAAAAGGGAGCAAACAAAGGAAATGATAAAAATCAAAGCAGAAATCAATGAAATAAAAAAACAAAGCAAACAAAACAACAGAAGTACTGTAAAGTGAATGAAACTAAAACTGATTTTTTGAGAACATTAAAATTGATAAACCACTAGCCAGACTAATCAGAAAGGAAAGATAGGTCACAAATTTCAAACATGAGAAATGATGAACATTTTAAAATGATAAATAGGAAATATTACATACAAACTTAGGTTAATAAGTTTGACAACTAAAATAAAATGGACAAATTTCTTAAACTACAAAATCAATCAAAATTTGCTCAAGGAAACATGGATACCCATTATATAGCTCTATATGTATTTATAAATTAAAAGTATATTTAAAAGAAAAATGATAGGCCCTGACAGCTTCCCTCATGACTGAATGAATATTTAAGGAAAAAAAATCAATTCCAGACAAATTCTTCTTCCAGAAAATTTCTCTTAGACCACTTTACCCTGATACCAAAACCAGGCAAAGATATAACAAAAAACTGCACTCTACTATCCTACAGATGTAAATACAGATGTAAAAATCTTAATAAAAGATCAGCAAAGTGAATCTGGTATATACATATTACTAGATTAATAAGTGTAAGTATATATACTCATTCTAAAATTCTATGTATGTGTATAGATACACACACACATATACACATTATATAAAAGATAATATTTCACAATCAAGTTAGGGTTCATCACAGGACAGCAGAGTTCACTTAACATTCAAAAACCAACAAGCATAAGTCATCATATTGTAACTGAAAAGGAAAAAAGCTTGGTAATCACAGACAGAGAAAATACACTTGACAAAAATCCAACATTCACCCCTAATAAAAATTCTTACTAAAGCAGTAAGAGAAAAAACTTTTTCAACACGACAAACAACATTTATAAGAAAAAGCATACAGCTAAAATCATCTTAACGATGAAATACTGAATATTTTCCCCTAAGATAGGGAATAAATTAAGACTGTTCTTAGCATTTCTATTAAGGATTATTATACTGGATGTTCTAGCCAGTGCACTCAAGTAAGAAAAATAAATAAATAGCGACTACATTATAAAGGACGAAATGAAACTGTAGCTATACAAAGATAAAATGACTGTCTACTAGAAAATTCGAATTTACAGAAAAGCTATTGCAACTAAGAAAATTTATCAAGATTTATATATATATATCAATATACAAAAATCAAATAGAAATGACACAGGGAAAAACATCAGAGAACTAAAAAATAAATAAATAGAAATTATCTAATTTCAAAAGTTATTCAGAAAGTAAAGAAATAACAAAAGAAAACAGAACAACAAGAATGATGAAGGAGCAACAGGAAAGGTACATTAGTATTTTGAGGAGGGGTTAAAGTTCTTTCTGAGAAGCAAAAATTATAGTATTATCAATGTAAGCAGAGGTAATATGAAAAAAACTACATCAAGGAATAGGGTGAACAATTTTGGTGGCAAAAATTCATCTACATTATACTTACATAGTAAAATTCTGATGACAGAAACTTTGATAAACTATGCATGCCTATTGTAATTGCCAGGGCAATCACTAAAAAAAACCTAAAAAAACCCCTAAGATTTAAACTCAAAAACATTATAGATAAATCTAAAGGCATATTAAAATTTGAAACCAAATCTCTCTGACCATAACAGTATCAATTAGAAATCAACAACAGGAAGACAACACTTGGAAATTAAAACACACATTTCTAAATAACTTATAGGTCAGAGAAGTGTCAAAAAATTAAAGAATATTTTCATTGACCTGAATAAAATGAAGACACAACATATCAAACTTGTGAGACAAAGCTAAAGCAGTACTTATGTAAAACTTAAGAGCAATAAATGCTCATAGTAAAAAAGAAAGTCTCAACCAAGAATCTAACCTTCTATTGGACAAAACTAGAAAAAGGAAAAAAAATGAATTTCATGTAAGAAGAACATGAAAATAACAAAGAACAGAAAGCAACAAAGTTGACAACAGAAATATAAATGAGGTAACCTGAAGGTTCTTTTTTAAAAGATGAATAAAAATGGCCCAGGTGGCTTGATTAGTAAATTCTTCAAAATATGTAAAGAATAATACTAACTCTATAGTCTCTTCCCAACACATCTTAAGAGACCAATATTAAGTATTGCCACTTTACAAAAATCAAAGACAGTATTTACAAAACACACACACACACACACACACACACACACACACACACACACAGAGAGACCGGTATCAGTCATAAACACAGATCCACACATCTTGAATAAAAATATAAGCAAATCAAACCCACCAATGTATCAAAAGAAAAACACAACACAACTAGGTTGGATTTATTCCAGCAATACGAGGCTGGTTTACTAATCTAAAGTTCAATTAGTATACTCCATCTTATTAATATCCTGGAAAAAATTAAATTATATAATCATATCAACTGATGGAATAAAACACCCAAACAAAATTCAACCTCTTGGTAAACTAGGAATACAGAGAAATGTATTTCACCCAATGAATAATTTTATAAAAACCCTCTAGCTAACATCATACTGTGTGGTAAAACACTGAAAACTTTTCCTGTAAGAATATGAACATGAAGTAAAGATGGATAAAACTGGTGCATATAAATACTGGTGAAAACTGAAGGCCTATAATTTAGTTGATACTTTTAGTTTTGGTATTGTTCTACAGTTATTTGTCACCCCTAGGAAAATGTGTGAGAAATACATGAAACTCTATATATACTGTAATTTTTTGTAACTTCATCTTCAGGACTCAGTTAGGCAAAAAAATTTTATACATGATTCTTAATACATGATCCATAAAGGAAAAAACAAATCAGTGAATAAGACTTCTTCCAACTTATAAACTTTTGGTCTGGGAAAGGCCCTATAAAGAAGATAAAAAGACAAGCCACAAAGAAAAAATATTTGCAAATCTCATCTAACAAAGGACTTAATATATTATATATATAATATATAGATGGAAAATATACCATATAAAGAGATGCTCAATATCATTAGCCACTATAGAAATTCAAATTAAGCTACAAAGAAATACTACTAAATATCTATTAAATGGATAAAAGTTTTAATATATACTGTCAAGAGCTGACAAGGATGCAGAATCAATGGACATCTTACGCACTGCTGCTAGGAACAAAATATGTTACAGAAACTCTAGACAATAAGTATGCAGTTTCGTATAAAGTTAAATATACTTACCATACAATCCAACAAACACACGTTTTAAATCTTACAAAAATGAAAACTGTGTTCATGCAAAAATCTGTAGACAAGCTTCACTGTACCTTTTATTACTTTGGAAGACTGAGACAGGAGAATTGCAAGTTTGAGCCTAGCCTGGGCAACTTAGGAGGATCTTGTCTCAAAATAAAAAATGAAAGAAAAAAATAAAATAAAATTTAAAAATAAAAAATAAAACATGAAATGGCTGGGTGTAAAGGTCCTGGATTAATTCCCAGTACCATTTTTTTTAAAAAAAGGACCAAACCTGGAAATTATACAACACTATTTCTACAAGTGAATGAATAAACAATAGATTCATCCACACAATGAATATTACTCAGCAATAATAAAAATGAAATTTTGATATGCAACAATAACCTGAATGGGTTGAAAGGGCATTGTGCAAATAAAAAAAATAATCTCAATGGTTATGCATTATATGATTGCACTTATATAATACTCTGGAAGTGACAATTACAGTGATGGAAAATGGATCACTAAAGGTGAAACTATTAAAGGGTAATACAAGGGATTTTCTTTGTGATAATGGAACAGCTCTGTATGTGGATTATGGTTATAGTTACTCAAATATTTACATACAATAAAATGTCATTTAACAATAGAAAAAAATACATTTAAAAACTGTTGAAACTCATCTAAGATATGCATTCAAGTCAACAGTATTAAGCCAAAGTCAATTCCTGGTTTTCTTCTTAATAGTGAGTCATAAGCAGTGTGTTCCAACCTTTCCAAAAGTCTTTGCCCTAAAAAGCAACTTGTGAGACTTTTTTTTTCTAATGTTACCCTATAAAATAAACACCACACATACATTGTATATATTTATGTACTGCATATATAACAGTGACTTATATTAAAAGAATAAGATTTCACCTCCCTCAATATCAAGTTTTGTCCTTTTGAGGGCAATAGCCTGGTACTATGTTTATATAAGATAATAACATTAGAAAAAACTGCAGAAAAGGTAAAGGATAACTGTCTCTAATTTCTTATATTAAATTACTACAAAATAAAGTTATGCTTTTTTAAAATATAAGAAAGAACAGACCTAGAATAACCAAAATATTAAACTAAAAGAACAAATTTGGATGACCGACAGCAAATGAAAAGTTTCCTGCAAAGCTACAGCAAATTGCTGTAATACTGGCATAATGAGGATAACCAAATAAAATAACTTTACTAAAACAGGAGTCCAGAGTGCTTCCACATATATACTATCAATTTTAGACAATGCACCAAAGCTAGTCAATTAAAAAATAAAAGTAACTTTAATAAAGGATGGCAGAGATTACACAAATATGCAAAAAAATTAAAAATCAACTGACACCCTACTTTACAGTACTCATAAAAATTAATTTTCTATGGATTACAAATGTACGTACTAAGACCATTAAAACAAAAAACGAAAAAGTCAATTCCTTCGAGCAAAGATGTAAAGAGAATATAAGGTACTCAATAGAAAAGAAAACATTAGAAATGAGATTTCATCAAATAAAGTATCTTTTTTTTTTTTCAGTACTGGAGATCGAACTCAGGACCTTGAACTTGAGAGGCAGGCGCAGCACCACTGAGCTACATCCCTGGCCCAAACATAATATCTCCTATTCATCAAAAGACACTGTTAAAAAAAAATTGAACACAAGGCACAGACCAGGAGAAAAAGATATAGATATACAAATACAGCCATAGACATGTAGATCTGACATAGAACTTGAGTACAGAGTATATGAAGAACTTTTACATACAATAACAATAAAATTGGACAAAAACAGAGAATGAACATTTCACTAAAGACATATAATACATACACAAAAAGGTGCTCAAAATTATTATTCATTAAGAAAATTCAAATGAAACCCATGATATCATTTCACAACTACCTGAATGACTGAAAGTAAAAACAATGGCAACACTAAATGATGGAGAGAATGTAAAACAACTGGAACTTTCAATAATTGCTGGTGGGAGTGTGAAATGATAAACTTCTTTGGAAAACTGCTTGTTGAGTTATAAAGTTAAATATACACTAAACCTATGTTCCACTCCTAGGAATACATTTGCCTAAGATAAATGAAAATGCTATGTACAGTTTGTACAAATCTTCTCATGAAAGCATTATTTATAGTAGCCAAAATTACTTAGGAATAAAAAATATTATTGATACAGTAGTATTATTGCTAACAGTAGTATTAAAAGACTTACCATGTATGAATTTCAAGAAGTCAGACACAAGAGTAAACACCATGATTGAAGAACATGCAAAAATAATCTATAGTGATAACAATTAGAACAATGGTATCTATGGGAGTTGAAAAGTATATCCTCTCCTGGGTGTTGTGATTGAGGTATAATTTATAAAAACTTACTTAAGGGCCGGGGATTTAGCTCAGTGGCACCTCGCCTGCCTCACAAGCGCAAGGTCCTGAGTTCAATCCCCGATACTGAAAAAAAACTCACTTAAGATCTGTACATTTCATTGGCCATTTATCTCAATTTAAAACAGCTTAGGTTAAAAAAATCCTAGACTCATAATGAGATTGTAACATATGTAACAGAAATTAGATAATTCAGTGGACAAAACGTCTTGATTATCTCTTTAAAGATACTGTTTATCTTTCATTAAATTTATTTCTATTGATAAAGGTATCTTCATATAAATAACATGCCTCAATTATTTACTGCTGACATATGGGTTCAATTTTTTATACTTTCTTTATAACCAGGACAGTCCTACTTAACTCTCTCATTATTTTAGTAATCTGACAATAGATTCTCTTCCAATTTCTATGTAGACAATCTTAAGGAAACTTTTGCATCTTCTTTTTAAATTCTATGACTATGATTGAAAATACTGAATACTAACTAGCAGGAGTCCTGTGTTGGATGCTCAAATTTTGTTCAGAACATTTTCAATAATCTTTATGTTGAAATTTGCCCAAGGGTTTGCTCTTTTATCTCTGCACTGTTTTGGTATCAAAGTTACATTTTAGAAATAATAAATTGAAAAACTTTCCCTCCCTTCATATTCTTCAGAATTCTCTATACAGGCTGAGCATTCCTTATCTGGAATGGGATGAGAAGTATTTCAGATTTAGGATTTTTTTTTTTTTTCAGATCCTGGGAAACCTGCACAGACTTCATCAGCTGAGCATCCCTAAAATATGTAGTTTCACATTTCGAGTTTTGGAGCATTTTAGATTTTCAGATTAGGGAAATCAACAGTATAAAGATTATCAGTTCCTACAAAATTTGGTAGAAACCACCTGTGATGGTCTGTTTTATGGGCCAATTTGTATTATCTATAGCTCCTAATTAATTATTCAAGGAAACACTAACCCAGGTGTTGCAGTGGAAGTGGTTTGTAGACTTATGTAAAGGAGATTACCAAAATAATTGGGTTCAGAATAATTCAGTCAGTCGAAAGGCCTTAAAAGCCAAGCCTTAATAATTCTACTTGCTAGCTTCAGCTCAGCTCCTGACCAAGAGATCCAAGCCTACTCTTGCCCATAGCCTGCCTTGACCCACATTCCAGGCCCCCAGTCCCCGCAATCACCTAAACCAATTTCTTGCAATGAATCTGTTAATATACAGATACAGACATATAAATAGAGATATATAGACCTTTATCTCCTATTCGTGGTTTCTCTGGTGAAACCCTGATGCTCCACTTCTCACGAGTTTATTTTGGGAGTGTGTGTGTTGTGTGTATATGTGATATATAGATACAAAGAGAAAATACTGAGTCAATTTGCTCTATCCTAATTTTCACAGCTTATATTAGGGGTAGAAAAACTTTCTGTTAAGAACTAGACTGCAAATATTTTATATTTATATATTTTAAACAACCCTTTAAAATGTTAACTAATTATTTTTGGTTTGCCAGCCTCACCAGATTTGGGGCACAAGCCAGTTACTGTGCTACATCATCAACTGCACTTTCTCTTTTTTCCTAGTTCTTCCAGAAACTGATGAGATCAGAAAAAGAACACTGAGCTTAAAAGGAAGTGGAAATATGGACGAAGAAAAAAGGACAACTCCAAGAGAGGTCCTACAAGAGTGATGGGACCTGAAGAGAATGAGGAAAAGGGATGACTGAAGGGGCGCTCCCTGTCCTCTGGCTCCAAGTGAAATGAAGGGACCACTTATAGAGATGGAGAATACAAAACAAAGACTAGGTACTGTTGTAGACAAGATGAATTCAAAATGCTTATGAGAAATCTTATCCAGTGGAAAACTAATGTCTACTTAAAAACGAAGTAAAACTAGGACTATTTCCACACATTCTTTTTCTCCTTGTTTATAGTATAAATCATAATTAGATATCAGTAATTAATGTAATTACTGAATAGGCTCAAATTAATACAGTGATATATTGATCTGTTTTAGAAAATCAATTTCAAAGTTTTACCTCTTCATTTATATAGTTTTAACTGATACAATTTATTTCTAATGTGCCCTTATCAGTCTACTCTTTGCTCTGTTAATCTTGCAATGGTCTTAGATAACCAAAGATTATTTTTCTGGATCAATTCTTTGAATACAGATATGGCTTTGTAATAGCCATTTTTCACAAATAAAATAGAAATTTATCTTTGTTATAAACTCTAACTTATACTATTCCATCAAACACATTTTTTAAATGGCTTGCAACAATTCCTTCTGACCAATTCATTCTTCTAACACCTCCTAGGGCAAAAAAACAATTCTAGAAGTGCATGAATATTGATTTCAACTTTCCAAACTCTTGGTGTTAAATCAAAAACAACACTGGTAAAAATTTATAAATTTTGTTAAAGATTTCTCATTTGGTAGAATATCAACCACTAATTATTAACTAATTATAACTGAATACATATTTCAAAGCTATCTTTAACACTATAAATATTATGTGTATGGCACTTTTTATTCATAAATTACAAACTGAATCCCTTAATGTCAGTGTCATATATATACATGTTATATATTTATACAGTAGCCTGCCAAAAAAAATCCAATTTTGAAAGTTTGCTAATATATAGTCACATGAATTTATACTAAGATAAAATATCAGGATAACACTACCAGGGAAAATTTCCAAAGTTCTATAATTTCTCAACATTCTATCATCACCTGAAAGTCAATTTTCACCTTTTCCACTGGTGGTATCTGTTAGCTCAGATTTTGCTTTGGGGCTCATATGTTCTTGCACTACACCAGAACTATATTATAAGGCTACTGACAACAGCACTTGATAAGAATCCACAAAGATAACAGTGAAGCAAATCAGAGTATTAAAGAATCTTTCATAGGAAAGAACATGACATCTGGAGGGCCTTTTCAATACCAAAAGTGATCTGATATAACTAACCTCGTTGTTACTTAGATTAATGCCAGGTTTCTAAAAAGTTTCGTAGTTGCTCTTACTTGCTCCTGAAAATATCTCCATGCTACTGTTCATTTCTAGGTGAAAAACAAAAATGCTTGGAATAAATCTACAAAGCTATTCTCATTAGCAATAGCTTCTGTCTTGAAGTACCTCTCTTTTACTAGCTACCAAGAGTCTGAAAAAGCAGGGACCAGTCAGATCATCATGTACAATGTAAGATCACTAATGTCAACATTAGCTCCTATATGCTCCATACCCAAAAGCCAGACAGACTCCAGCTCTCCGTCACAAAGATAGGAACACTCATAACCAGATTTTCACATTCTTACAAGCTTGTTCACATCTTCTTGCAATAAAATGTGGAAAGGGGTTTAGAGAGGTCTTACACTGGGAAAATTAAGACAGTGGGAATCAGTCTTCTTCATACCTTTTTCCCTTCAAGCCATACTTGAACTGACAAAACAAAGGGAAGTCAATAGTAGGAGAGATTTTCCCCCTTACTACTCCAGCTACTTCCGGCCGAGAAACAAGTTGATGGGGGCAACAATGAATCTCATGTAGTCTTCATAAAGACCTTTCAGGTAAGTATTTTGGTTCTACTTTTCAGATCAAAAAAAAAAAGTGGAAACTCACAGAAGTAAAATTTCCTAAGCCTCTCATGAACTTTAGCCATGTCAAGATCATGTAACCCAGGTCCCAAATCTTACACATGGGATAGTGGCCTATAGAAGGGGACAGACAAAGTTAAGCAGGCTTCTGCAGTTAAAGCGTGGGAACAACCCTTACACTCAAAGACTGTGTGTTTCAGAACAAGCAAAATTTAAAACTTCAGTGTTCATTTTTGACCAGAAAATAAAATCAAATGGAATTCTAATTCTACAATGAAAAAAAAAACCTTTTAAAAAAGCAAGAGGAACAATTTGTGAGGTGGCTGAGAAGCATCTTCAAAGACAAAAAACATCAAATATTGGGTCAACTGGCAACAATCTAGTTTTTTATAAATTTAAACTTTTAAATATGGAAATTACATAAATGAGGTAAATGTTCTTATTTCTGCTTAGCTTTGGGGTCAAATACTACCTATAAACCACAATAATGTGCTTCATTTGAACTTCTTTGTCCTATCAGCTTTCACTGTTGATAACCACCTCTTTCACACTAGATGTGCCCATTTCCCAACAGCAACTATCTCTGGGACCTCAGATTTTGCAGATTACTAGGTGTGAAAATTTCCTCTTTCACCCACATTACCTTAACAAAGATGAGAATAAGAAAGGACAATAAACTGAAAATATACCAACGCAGGAAATCAACTTATGCAATAACTTATGCCAAATTTCGAAATGTGCTGCAAACTCCATTATAGCCATAATTTCTTAAGTGAACTTATATGTTTATTTTATTTGAGAATATCTTTTCCTACAAGTGCAATTTCCCAATGGTACTTTGTTTTATAAAAACACTTTTATGGGGAACAGAAGATGTTTGATAAAAGAATAAAAGACAGCTTGCCCATGGCCTACTTACCAACACTGTATATTGCCTAAGTGACTTACTTTTCCCCTCGTTTAAATTTAGAAGATGGCAGAATACTGTATATCTCCACTGGTTCTTCTTCATCTTAACAATATTTCATAAAATTTATTTTAAAAATATGTACTACTTTGATAGTGGGTATAATTATTTTTATATTAAAAAGTTATTCATTTCATAGACCCGATCTTTGTTCAAATCACATCATGTTTCTTAGTAGGGCCACAGTTTATTCAAACATGAAAGCCAGATCCATAATACATGGAGAAAACTGAGTAGTGTTTTCCAAGATAATCACCTATCACCCTCATCAGATTATCTCTGACTAAACTTTGGCTGAAATTTGTATTCATTTTATCAAGTATTTATCAAAATGAGGATATTAAAAATAATTTATCATAGTATCTGAAGGCAAGCTTTTAAGCAGTTTCAAAAATATTTTCAACAATGGTAACAATACTCAAAAATGTATAAAAGATGCAAAGGTAATTAACTACTTGGGTTACTCTTGAGCCAATCCCACAAGCTTCTATCTTTAAAGATGTCATTTATGATATCAAGTTGTCGATGCTCACCTCCAAATGGGCTCCGCTCACATTTTCAACTTACTGTTAATTCCAAATCCTACCTACCGGTATCTCAATCTCAAAATTTCTACAATTTGAAACTATCTTTTTTATCTGCAAAATCACCCTACATTTATATAGTATGCAGAATGAGCACAGTAAACATTTGTAGAAGAAAGGAATAGTGAAAGGAACTGTCCTACAAACATCATCCCCTTTAGAAGCAGGTAAATAAACAGGGCGCAAAGCAATACTTTAACATTACCCAGAAACTGGTAAAAATGCCCATTCAATCTTCTGTCTGTTCCATCTTCTAACTCTTGTATTTCATTATCAAAATTTACTTAAAATCCAATTCAACATTTTTTCATCTCAAAGTTCTTGGCCACAGCACCCAAAAGTGATTTCTTTTTCTAACCATGAGATTTTACTTGCATCAATTCTATCACTTTAATCACATCTGAATTTATAACATGTCACATCACACTATCCAGTCTTCTGCTAGATCAACAGTTGCTATGGAATGAACTGAGTTCCCCACCTTCCCCAAAAGTCACATGTTGAAGCCCTAACCTCCTATGTGACTGTACGTGGAGACAGTGCTTTTAGGAGGTAAGTAAGGTTAAACCAGGCCATAATGGTGGGGCCCTAATACAATAGAATTTGTGGCTATATAAAAGGCAGATACTCCTTCATTCTCTACCATATGAGGACACAGAGAAAAGAGGCCATCTGCAAACCAGGAAGAGTCCTCCCAGCAACTAATTAGCTGCCATTTGCTCATGGATTCCATAGCTTCCAGAAGGGCAAGAAAATAAACTTCTATTATTCAAGCTACCTAGTCTATGTTCTATGTGCTGCCTACTCTATAGTGTCTAGTTATGGCAGTCTGAAATTGCATAAAGGGTTTTGTACAAGTTGTTAACCTTTCTGTACTAAAAACCACCACCTGAGAAGGTTTTACAAAATTCTGATGCTTGGCCCCATCCAGCCCAGTTAAATCAGAAATGCTAGGGTAAAACTCATGTATCAGTATTTTTTTTAAAAAAACTCTTAAATAATTCTAAAATGCAGGTAGATTAAGAACTACTACAAGAAACAATTAAGTTAAATGAGGCAAGAAACTGTGTCTAATTCTTTGCAATTTCCCCAATTTCTGGTACATGATAAAACTTTAACAAATAACATTCATATTTAAGAAATTTCAGTATTTGACAGTCATAGATACTCTGTGAACAAATACTTACTGGGCACCTATCATATATCAAACACTAGCGTTCATACATACTGTAGTAATATAAGCAAGCTTCCTTATTTGGCAGCATAAACACTTGTAACTACATTCTCAATTAATCATGCTTAAATAATTAACATTCTTTGATGCCTAAAAATCTCCCAGTAATGGTTTTTTAGTAAAAACACAATGTTAAAGTAAACACCAGATCTTTAAAAACTTTCCCATTAGTCTCTTTACATTAAAATGTGAAAACAGGGAACCTGTGGGGGAGAAGGTCAATTTGGGTATCAACATTATTTGGGCACAATTTTGTTTAGTTCACATATCAAATACTAGATAATATTTCTCAACTTTATGACACCTGTAAACAGAGATTTCTACAAATATCCTATTAGTATCCTTAAAATTAAAAACACTAATTCAGTTAATGAAAAATAAAGGTGTTTTGTTTTGTTTTGTCTTCCTGTGAACCTTCTGTGCTGAGTCAGGAATTCCTTGCAATGACATTCGAAATCACTGAAGTTTCAGGCTTTAAAGAAATGTTAGCAGATACCTGATTTACTTGATTTATGTTACTCTCCCAACCTCTCAAACTTCATATTATGCATTTAAAATCAATTAACGGCAAAATCTGAAACAAGAAGTCAGTTCTACTAACTGCCAAATTTGGGAATCTACAACAATGTACTGCAGTAGTGGTGGACAATCTCCTACTGTCTAGGCCTATCCTTTATAGTCATCTGGCCCCTAGTAAATTTTAAAAAGTGAGATTATATGAAAAATATTTACTGTTTACTACCCAGGTTGAATCTTCTCATTCTCCATGTTTTTCTTCATTTCTGAAGTTACTTTATTACCTAAAGACACATCACATCTGTAAATTTCACTTTATTTCCCGAGAAAAAACTCTAGATCTAGAAAGAAATACTATACAATTTATGTGTAATTTTTGGTGGATTTTTTAAAAATTCCAAATATTTAAAAAAATGTTTGAAAGACTTGAGAGTAGTGAAAATCAGGGAAAGCCTCTTATGAAATCAAATTTAAAGAAGTGAACAAGAATTAGATAGATAATGGGGAGG